GATAACCGGCAATACGGAAACTCGCAAGCCAATGAGCATGAAAATCAAACTAAAATAAACTCACCGTCTCGTCGTCTCGCCGAGCGACTCGCACTCGCTCGCATGTGCGCGAGAGACGGAGAAGAAGAGAAAGAGAGAGAGAGAAAGAGAGAGAAAGACAGACAGACAGACAGAAAGAGGCAAGAGAGAGAGAGAGAGAGAGAGAGAGAGAGAGAGAAAGAGAGAAAGACAGACAGAAAGAGGCAAGAGAGAGAGAGAGAGAGAGAGAGAGAGAAAGATTGAAGGAAAGAAAAAAAGAAAAATCACACTGGATATATCCTTTCGACGCCGCCAAAAAGATCAAATCCCTCCTCCCTGCATATGAGATTGTATTTGTTTTTAAGTCCTTAGATGTATACACAGAGGCACGTCGGCTGGCGAAAGAGAAGCTGTTCTCGCGCGCTCGGCAGCGGTGTGCGTGCAAGCGCGGGCGACGGAAGACAGAGAGAGAGAGAGAGAGAGAGAGAGAGAGAGAGAGAGAGAGAGAGAGAGAGAGAGAGAGAGAGAGACCAAGAGAAAAAGATAGAACGATCCACCTGACGGCGTGAAACGATGCGTGCACTCCGCGAATATTCCTCGAGATATCCCGCGCGCAAGGACACGACGTCCTCTCGGCCACGTGGGGAGCTTCTTCGCGGAGAGTCCCTCCCGGCGAAGAGCTCGCGGGAACTTTGGCGCGGAGGCCGTCTCCCAGCCACCGCGCTTGGGAGATCTCGAGGACTCTCTCACGCGCGTTGCGAGCGGTGCAATGAGACGTGTACACGCACACACACACACACACACGCGCGTACTCGCGCGGATGCACGCACACACGCAGACGTCGCCGTCGCTGAGCGCTTAGTTCTAGCTCTCCCGTATTACAGCATATCATCATTACGCGTCAAGCGACACGGAATCTATCGATAAATTAAGATAGCGTTATCTCTGTTCTACGAACTCTTCTCATTGCTGTCCCTCGTTAATCCTCCAACCGGTATGAGCCCCGCTGCACCGCGCGCGTAGCAGGCCGCCCGCGCCGTCGGGGAGAGCGCGGCCGGAACTCGCGGAAGTCGCGCGGGTGTGCCGGTTGGAAGCATTAAGTGTCTGATGAACGTTACATCTGCCGCACAATGAACGTTAATTACGAGCGCGCGGGCTGCTGCTCCTCCCTCGTGCACCCCCCGGGAGCGTCCATCTCGGACACCCCCGAGGGCGACGGATTCGAGCGGTCAGTCGCCTCCTCCGGTCCTCCTCCGGTCATCTCGCGGAGGTCACCTTGCGGTCGCGATGACGCGAGTCCTGGCGACGGCGAGCCGCCACGAGGTCGCCTCGCGTGGAGAGACAGCGCGCGCGTCGCCCGCGTTTTTACCGCTCAGTGTGGCGGCGCGGGTGTAGCGGGTGTCGTGCTTGACTTCTCTATGTGGAGCTCGCCCGGAGTTTCCTGGCTCTCCGTGTTTTAATCGCATTGTAACATAGCATGATAGAAGATACATCAGTATAAACCTAGAGACTAATTTTTCAGATCTTTCGATAATTAATAAACAGCACGTGTGCGCCCCGGAAAGAGTGCGCGCGCGCGCGTCTCGGAGGAACTTCCTTCGGGTCTTCCTCGGAGGAATTCGCGAGTCGCGCTCTAAACGCGAGTGTCTCCGCGCGTTCCGCGAGCCCCAAGCAACCAGGTGCTTCGTCCTTCAGTCGCGTTGTATCATAGCACGGCAGGAGGTGCGCGTCAGTACGAAGTTAATCCCTCGGGACTCTCGCTAATTAATAACCGCGCTCCTTCGAGGGATCGATCGCGAACGGGCGAGACGAGTCCTCAGATTGTCGTTTCTCGGACGAAGCCTCGCGAAGAGGATCCCCCTCCGAACTTCCTCACCGAGTGTGGGTCTGTCTTGTTACTCTCAACGATGCTCGTCGTTAAAGCGCGTCGTTATCGTCGCGCAGGTATGATATACGGTAGAATAGCAGCCGCGCAAGCCGACGGCGTGACGGTAACGACGTTTCAACGGCCGCCGTCGGAAGCTGCAGCACGGGCCCGCAGGATCAGCCTCCGCGCTCCTGCGCGCACACCTCCTTCGGGGCGCAGGCCGATAGATACTCTAGATATTACGATAAGGGAAATCGTTCAGAACTGTATTCGTTACGCAACTTTCGGGGACAATTGGGCCGTACGCCGCGCGTCCTTCCGTTGAGTTTCGCGAACAATCGTCGATCTTGTTGACGCCTTTGAATCTCGCTAGCGCGACTCGTAGAGAAATTATTATCGCAGCGGTCTGTTCTCCTCTTTTCATCCGTTTCGTCGCGGCGCGTCGTCCGACGGGCCGCGAGGTTTTTCGTTCACGTGAGAAAATCGAGCAAACTCGATTGTACATTCTTCGACAGAGAGAAAGAGAGAGAGAGAGTGAGCGAGCGAGCGAGAGAGAGAGAGAGAGAGAGAGAGAGAGAGACAAAAAGTATCGATTTGTTGTGATGCGACCGCCGACCGGCAACGAATCGTTGGCCGCGCGCGGTCGTCTCTCTTTTAATAAAGCACATCCGGTCGCTCGGACCGCGCATAGTTTAGGACAGTTCCTGGATTCGATGTACCGTACTCTCGACGAAGTCAGTGATTTTCTTTACAAACTACTATTAAAAAAAAATTGTATAATGCATCTACTTACTTATTGAAGTAACTGTGTAACCATTACACATGTAACAAAAATCCAATGTTGTCAATAAAAGTAAAATATTATATATATATATATACATGCACTTACGCACGTAGGCGCGACAAGCGTGACAGACGGAGGGTTGTTTTTTTTATAACATCCTTTTTTTATTCGAAAAACGTATCGATACAAAAGTTACAAAAGTGCTGTTTATTGATAACAGACTTCGTTTTGAACATTATATATATATATATATTATATATATATATATATATATATATTAGACAATATAAAAAAAACGAGATACATGGACGGACATGAAGATATCTCTTGTGGATAAACACTCCTCGAGGACATCTCGCGAACGACATTTTGATTCCGTGAAAAATTTTTCCAATCAACCACGTGCTACGCCACGTGATACGCTAATTCCCGAGGAAACGTTTTTTACGTTATCATAAAACATTAGTACAAATATGTGTATTATATATAAATGGACGGAATGTCAGATCATTCATCTTACATGACTAATACTGTGTCTATACAATATATATACGAAATACAAATGTGTGTGTATGTGTGTGTGTGTGTGTGTGCGTATGCGTCCCGGAAAGAAAGATTAGGATTATGTGACTGTAGAAAATTTTGAAAGATCCTGCGTGTACGAGCTACATCGGCAGTCTTATCGGTCGTGTGTTTTCCTTTCTGCTTGCGATAAGAAACTTGTACGATCTAGGTGCATCTTCTCGGGACAATTCGCGGTCGCTCTCCATGGCTTTCTCTCACGCCATGGAAACGGACAGCTTCCGGGAGTACGCTTTACCCTCCCATTCTTGATCGGACGGCAACGGTTCGTGGCGCAATTTGCAAACAGTCGCGCCATACTTCAGCATGAGAATTATTACGCAAACCACGAACAGCGTCAGGCAAGCGGTCGCAGGCCAAAAGACGTGTAGGCCCATTTTGACGAGATTATTCGCGCCGACTCTCTCTCGACGGGATTACTTTATCTGACTATTCGCGGCCGAGAATCCGGTGCGAGCGCTGATACAGCCTGCCAAGTGACTGCAGTCCTGCTTCTTGGTGATTGTCGAAGAAGGCTAATTACCTTTCTCTTGACAAAGTAATCTCGTGAAAGGATGGACTAATTATTCTTAGCGTTAGCAGGACCACAAAAAAAAAAGATAGCTCAGCAGGGAACAGCTCGACGCCAGAGTCTTGACGCAATTAGCTGAGTGCAAAGGGCTAATTAGGCTCTATTGTACTCAATTAAACTCGCTGCTTTGGACAGACTACTGAAGCACGGGTGTCACTCGAAGGTTCTCCAATACCACGACGGTCAACTGGTAAGCCGACTACTTCTCAGATCTCACTCTCGCGCTTCTGCATCTCTAGGTACTCTTCCGGATGTGACAAGATGCTGTGGGACTCCGGATCGTGATACTGAATAATTTCATGCCTCACTTGAGGATACTTGATGCGCCCAGACTCCAGTTCACTCAGGTCAAGCGGGGGTGTCTTATGGGGTAACACAGTCCACATTGGCTGAATCCATCTGTTTCCTATATCGTGCGATAGGATAGTAAACTTTCATTAGAGAACGAGAAATACCAAGTCAGTTACAATTGTATTTATGTTTCAAAATGTGCTCACGGTATAGAAAATTAAGTTTACACCAAACTCTGTTTCTTTTTGGTGTCAGACTAGAGGTCTGTTCTTTTTAATTGAACTAGTACTGTACTCAAATCTTGTTCCTTTTCTCTTCAGTGGAAATTTTTACTCTAATGGCAAAAAGTGCAACTTGGTTCAGTTGAAAAGAATAGACCTTACATATTAAAAATAGATTGAAGATTAGTACTAATATGTGAAATAATTGGAAAAATGAAGATTACAAGATTAAAACATAATCTGTTGGGACAAAGCCAAGATTGAAGCTAGTTGATTCTGATGCTTGTAATTTGTAATTTATTATAATTTGCATGATCCTAATATTTACTTAATCTCCAATACCTAGCCTGACGCTAACTTTATGTATATTATAGATTTTCAAAGTCTCTGCACATTCCAGAGCACACTCTTTCAAAACAAACCACCCAACCACCTGTGGCATATGAATCAGAGTTCAAGAGCTACTTGGAAACTAACCAGTGTTGCGATCCTGCCAATATTCTCGGTGCCGCGAGCACCAGCAGAACACAATGTTCAGGATGAACAGGAAGCCACCCAGAACGGCGCAGAACGCTACCGTGGCATAGAACGGTGTGTAGTCGCCGTACTCGTGTTCCTTGAAGTACGGATTCTTCAGGTAGTCTTCCCGGTCTTCTAGAATGGACATGTCACAACGTTAACACTCTCTCTTTTTCTCTCTCTCTCTCTCTTTCTCTCTCTCTAGCTTCTGAAAAGGAGAAATAAGGAAGCCCATTCAGTGCTATAGTAAACGAGACGAGTAAACGTCACTCGCGGCATCGTGATGTGTGTGTGTGTGTGTATGCGCGCGCGCGCGCGCGGTTTCAGGCGTGGCGCGACGCGACATAGCGAGGCGCATAATTACGAGTCAACTGACGCGTTCGAGTAACAATCGTAATTATTGTTATCGCGCATCGCACGCGGATACGCTCGTCCAGTGCACGCAGGTGCGGTCGAAATAGGTCACGAGGCGCGTGCGTAGCCCGGCCGCGTTGACGGAATTTATTCGCGCTTGCATAATATAATAGCTCAACGTACCTTCACAGCGTTTAACCCGTTCGTATCGTGTGTGAGTCTTTCGATTGTTAATCGTGACTGTGCCGATACAATAATGCGCTCTCCCTGTTTCTTGAGAAACGCCGCGAGGATCCGCAGGAGCGAAAACGTCCGACCACGCTCGTGCCGTTGGAATGTTTGATCGGCGTTAGATCACTCGTATTGGGCGGGGCATCCCGTTTGGTGGGGGGACAGTTATTTGTGACTCTGGTAGCGCGCGTACACCGCCGCCGCGACTCGTGTTCCTTTTGGTTGAACTTTGTGCACCGGTGCGGGAATGCGCAGCAAAGTGCGGCAGAGAAGTGCATCTCGAACGTAGAGGAGTGTAGAAGGATGCAAATATGGGGTCTGTTCTTTTTAGCTGCACTGCTGAACTGGTGCGATAAATTAGAGTGAGAAAAATATAGACTGCGTTCCGATATTCACTGCCAGCATTGAAAATCTATAGTATACGTGACACAAACTATGTATTTTCAGTCTGTTATGGTCTGTTCTTTTGAGCTGCATTGCTGAACTAGTGCAATAAGTTAGAATGAGACAACTATATTTTCTCTCACCCCAACTTATTGCACCAGTTCCGTAATTCAGCAGCTAAAAAGAACAGATCCATAGCTGTCTCATTCTAACTTGTTGCACCAGTTCAACAGTGCAGCTAAAAAGAACAGACCGATGGTATGTATGTGTGTTATATACTGGGTGTCCCAAAAGTAACGGACCACCCTAATAACTTTTCAGTATTGAAGTTTCAAGGATAATGATCTGAAAAAAAGTTGTAGGGATTTAAGTGAGCTATCTTATGATGACCTTAACTTTGACCTTGACCTCTATGTTCAAGATCATTTGAAGGTCAATTTGCGTTTTTTTAATGGGAATCCTTACTTTTTATTATATTGTTTTTTTCTACTAGTACCAGGTAATTTGAACAACTTTTGTCTAAAACATTTTTTTATTTGTCAATATTCTTTGAGATATTTGAGAAAAATTTGAAACTTTTTCAATATTTAACTTACGATATCTCGCTAACTATTTGTCGGAAGAAAAAATGGTACTAGACTTTCTTGCTTTATTTAGTCTCAAGAATATATTGTTACAATAGCGTCCTGATTTTTGTTAATTTGATGATTTTGAAATTTCCAAAAGTTAGTAAGTTAACAAAAGTCAGGGCGCTATTGTAATAATATATTCTTGGGACTAAATAAAGCAATAATGTCTGGTACCACTTTTTTTACCGACAAATAGTTAGCGAGATATCGTAAGTTAAATATTGAAAAAGTTATCAAGTTTTCCTCAAAAAATATTAGACAAATAAAAAAATGTTTTAGACAAAAGTAATTCAAATTACCTAGTAGAAAAAACAATATAATAAAAAATAAGGGTTCTCATTTAAAAAACGCAAGTTCAAATGACCTTCAAATGACCCTAAATAGAGGTCAAGGTCAAAGTCAAGGTCATCATAAGATAGCTCATTTAAATCCCTACAACTTTTATTCAGATAATTTTCCTTGAAATTTCAATATTGAAGAGTTATTAGGGTGGTCCGTTACTTTTGGGACACCCTGTATATAATTCCATATTAAATATATATATTATATATTTATATCTATCTTTTTATGTATGATTAAGGCTCTTGGTCCCTAGCCGCGGGATTTTTGACTGAAAACAATTGAAAAACTTTTGAAGAAGACGAAAAGTGAGAAAATGCGTGTTCAAAATTCTTGCCATTTCCAAGTAAAAAAGAAAACATTTGTATGAAAGAATATTTCAGGTCGTTAGAATATATTTGTAAAATTCTCCCAACATTATAGGTTTCTTATCGAAGAATTTCCTGAAGTAATATACTACATTAATGTAATAAGTTAGAATGAGAAATATATTTTGTTTCATTTCAACTTACTGTACCTGTTCAGGAACTTTTTCGAAAAAAGACAGACTATATGCTTCTTCCTTAAAGTCAGTAAATAGTTGTAAAGTGACTAATATGAGATTGGTCATACGAAATGATTACTCATGCGCATGGCGTCAGGTGATTTTATAGTGATTAGGCCTACACAGTCATTTTATAGTTTCTTTGATCATTAAGGAAGAAGCGCATAATGCTCGGGGCATTTTATTTTACATAAGTTGCTCTATAACGATCTGAAATGTTTTTTCATGTTGACATCTTTTATCTCGGAAATGAGACACAAGAATTTTCATGTCATTTAATTGCAAAACGGTTTGCACTATTTCCCCAGATGCGTTTAAGAACGCAACGCGATAGCCTGGATTTATGAACCACTACTCGCGAGTTTTCAACCCAATTTTTGTATGTGGAGAAAAAAGCAGCAGTTTCATGCAATTTCTTTGCTTATTATATTCTTCTGATATGAATCCGCAAAAGATTTAAATTCTGAAATTTCATTACTCGAAAATTTTGGATTTTGTTATCAACAACATGTAATGACCAAAGAAATAGCAAGTATTTTTAGCAGTAAATTTGAAAATTTTTCAGTTTTCAAATTTTGAGTACCAGAATCACATGACTATAATGTAGTACAAATTCCAGCGCGGAATTTGGTAATTTTCGCACTCTTCCGATACAATTGAGTCTTAAAAATATAATAAGTAAGAACATGGCACAAGTGAAAAGAAAATCTCTTTCTCTTTCTATTGAGATTCTATTCAAACCCTATTTATTTTTACTTAATTTTCAATATAATACAGTATATACAATTCTTCCAAAAACAATCTTTTCACAAGATGGATGCGTTCTAAAACTACATATAAATTATGAATAAATTTTTTAACCACGACGATATTACGATCTCGATTTTTCATAAAAAAATGGCGGTATGTAGCTGAAACTTTAAAACGGAAAAAGTCTAAAGTTATTACCCGTTATTTTTGCTGTATAATTTTTGCTGACTAATAACGTATTTAAGGAATCACTAAATCCTTTATTTCTAAATTTAAATTGCATATTAGTGTTCTAAAGACTCCACTACATGTCTTCATCCTCCTGAAGGAAGAATGAAGACTTGTAATGGAGAATGTAGTATGATTAAACAATATGTCGGACATACCTTGACTTTTGAGTAATATTATCAAGGGGTGCAAAGCGCCCCTTGAACCGTCATAATTTCTTTTTCTTAACATTACAATTGAGTTTTGTATATTTCTCTATATAGAAATATGTGACCTGAAACCCCTTCGTATGTTAATCTACATAAATATAAAAAACAATTTTGATAATAAGAAATCTTTTTTATTTTCAAGTAAATACAACTGATCCAAAGAACAAAGATTTCTCTTAAGGGGTAACACCACTGTAACGGCCTAAAAAAAAGCGTTTTTTGACAATCTTTTTTGGGCGGAAGGAAAGGTGATAGAGAAATAATACTTGGGATAGTTATTGAGCATATATTTAAGTATATTACAAACAATTTTTGTACGAAAATATTACAAAATGGCGACATTGCAGCAATTCTCCCGAGACATGTTGAATTTGAGGCGATCTGCGGCACGCACTATAACTGGTGCCAATTTGAATCTGGAAAAAAGAAAAAAAATTTATGTAATCTACATGAATGTAACTAGTGAACCACGTAGGGGATTTTAGAAATATTGATTTTTGTGTAATTGGCGAGTGTTTGAATAAAGTCGTTCAATTTTCACCAAAAAAAAGGACAGTCATTTGTTAATATTGTTTAAATTAACTAATTGAAAATCCCCTACGTGGTTCATTTTGAAATCTTATTTCAAAGTTGTGGTAAAATTTTCAAATAAAAAGATCAAAAATTGTTGAAGTTATGCTGCGTGCCGTTTTGAAAAATCATATTTCGAGAAAAACGCGTTTAAAGTTTTGAAATGTGTTATAGACATGAACAGATGAAAAATTCTCTTTTAGAAAACTCTTACCATTAATCTGCTATCCCAGGACCATAAAGTTGCTCTTCCAAGTTCAAATTTTCCTCCTCAGTTTGTTTCCTGGCCGATTTTAAGTTGGAACGTGCCTCCTTTGTCGCATCTGACAAGGACAGCTCAGCGTACTTTATGCGGTTAGCATCGGCTTCCATGCAAAAATTGTATGACTGGATACCAATGTCCATCTCCGAAACTTTCATAATCTGTAGAATATCCGTCAGACCATCATTAAAAACACAGCAATATCTGTCGCTATGTTCAAGACTTTTTTGCCGCTGGAATACGATTTTGGAGCCAAATTTCAAACCGTAGCATTGAAACTTTCGTTGCTATTTTGCGTACAACCTCCTAAGCAACGGTTTAATAATTCCTCTCGGCTCAGCTCCTCATAAATCGGTTTAATTGCCTTGAAAACTTCCTGAGAAAGTGGCGATTTATGGTGGAAGGTATCCAATGAATTCGCCGCTTGCGCCTTCTTCCAATTGCACCAAGACTCTGAGCACTTATCGTGCTGCGGATTCTCGTCGGTTGACAATGTATGAAATAAGGTCGCCCAGATTTCATTTTTCATTTTTTCTACACTATTCGGATTACGATGTGTGGCTAAACCATAATAAATTGTCAACTGATCAATTAATTTGCCAGTTAATTTACCTTTTCCACCGAGGCCTTTTACTTTTTTTTTCTAAATTTCTCAATCGGGTCCCCATTCTTTTCTGCACGTGATCAATGCATTCTTTATTTTGCACTTCAAAATTATCATATGGATTTTTATCCATTATACCTTTGAAAGTTTTACTATCTCCGTCTCCAATGTAGTTTGCATATTTCAGACCGTGCAAAGTTTCAGAGCGCTCGAACATTTCAACGACAGCGTCAACCTCCATTTTACCGGATGAGCCTTCATGATTTGTTTGACATTCATCGGCCACTCTTCATATTCAGTTGTTCCTATTGTACTTTCCCAGTGCTCGCATAACTTACAGTATTTCGATTTTACCTCGACATTGACGATTTTGCCTGTGAACCATCCAATCAGTGACGTAATTCCGAAGAGCGACGAAAATCCGCGTTTTCTCCACGAACCATCACCGGAAACAGTAATTCCTTCAAACTGACCATTCTCTTCGCTTTTCTCTTTCTCTTTTTGTGCTGCTTTCTTCATACTGGCCTGTCGTACTGTTGCCGTTGCGATCGAAATCATATCCACTAGTTTATCATAGAACGATTGAAATATCGGTCGTGGCAATTCCATGAACGCACAAAACTTTACAATTCCGTTTAACCCTACTCCAAGCAGGCGCATTGTTAGGACGATTCGACGGTTGATTTCATATACGTTCCGTATAAACTTACTACTTGGTATAACAACTTCTGGGCAGTTGGGACAAGCAGTAATTATTTTGAAGCCTAAGCCTCGAGGACTTCGTTCTTGAAACGTGATGTCTGCATTGCACGTTTTACATTTCACGTGTTGAGAAATAACAGAGAAAACGGCAAGAAAATTTATAATCCTATAGCTCAATCCGTAATTCACATCAAAGTCCTGGTCACTGTCTTTCAATTTCTTAGCAGAGGCATTGACTCCTTCCGAACTGCTCTCAATCTCATATCTATTCTTTGGACGCTTTGATGACATACTGCTTCGACGCCGCGTTGGATATGATGTTTTCGTACCTTTTCTGCCCGAGTACACTTTCTTACCACTCATTCTTACTTGAAAGACAAAACTGTATACTATAAGATCACAAATAAACTATCAAAAGTCAATACTGCACACAAAAATCAAGATTCGAAGCGAAAGAATTGTTCTTTTTCGTACACGTACTGACGCTTGCTGACGCCAAGCTAACGTATTATTGTTTTGAAATGCTTCTAACTATACCCAGACACTACACTATCGACATCTATGGAAGTTTCGAAGAAATTACAATTAAAAAAATGGGGATTTCTCAGCGGGTATCGAGTTGGCACAGGTAGGCCGTTTCGGGTCATCCGAGGCGCTAGGTGAGGAGCTCGGAATTCCATAGAACAAATTTTTTTTCAGGGATTAGACGTTTTGCCTCATATTTTAGAAGGTTCAAAGCATCTTTTAAGTCAATAAAAAAAATTTGATTTTTTGAAAATTCTACAGTGATGTTACCCCTTAAAGACATTTCTAAGATAACTATTTCTAAGATATAATATCTAAGATATAATAGAATAACTATTTCTAAGATAAGAGGTAAAATGTCTGGAAAAATATTGAACATTTCTAATTTCTCTTTCTCACAAAATGTCTATATCTTAATGTTTCATTCTATGTAAATATGTAGGATAGATTTACCGATTCACCGAGGTGCAAAACTGAAAAAGATTGCACATCATGTTATCGATAAACATAAAATTGTAAATATGTACTTGGGCATCAATCGAATATCCGTTGAGCCATAATAGATGATTTACGCCACCTCAATCACTATCGAAACATACTGCCTCGTGCTATTCCCGATAGTGGAGGACACTCGGCACCACGATTGGCTGGATGTAAAAGCATCGGCCGTATGGGCTTTATTTATGTCGAACTTTTTCGTGTGGCCACAATGCACATATTCTCTAACGAGACGTCGGTAGACGTGTAATAAAATAACTCCGCTTGAAATCCAACGCTTTGTAGAAAAATCAGGCGGCCCCAATTTAAAAGCGTTTTTGCTTTACGTCCAATAAGTTCGCGTTCATTCGATTCTGAAGACTGTACGATGTTGTTATCCTCTTCACAGTGTTGTGGGCTGGTTGTTTCTTCGTCAGGTTGCGTTTTAGCGTCGTTTCTCGAGCGAAGACCGCAAGTCGCCCAACTGACTATGCTGCACAAGATTGGGAACTCATCTACGGTGAAACCGCATTGCCGCAGATACTCTCGGCCCACGTAAGACGAGTATTCGCACTTGTGATGACAGCAGAACGCGAGGACTAAGCCGCGGACGTTGACGTGCGGCTCGCTGTTCATCGATCTCACTAGACAGCGTATCGCCAGGTCTGGAAAAGACGAATCAGAGTTACATCGTCGGTTGTGGACCAATGAGGAATGAAGATTTGGATTATGCACGACACCTGTAGCTGTGCCGCAGAGATGCTTCGCTATCCCGACTTTGTGCTTGACGGACTGGATTTCCGTGATCCGGTTCAACTGCAAATCGGCAATGTCGGCGCGTACTCTCTTTATCGCGAGATGACTCTCCTCCTTCTTCAGCTTATTGTCGTTCTTGTGCCGGTGACTAGAACGATCGACTAGTAAGATGCAAGAGTTCGATTTGCTCTTTATGATCTGGCCCAACCAGTATGTTAATTGAGCTGTTTAAAGTACGACTTCGCTTAGTGCGCGAGATACTTTGAGTGTGCAGAAGGTAGGCAGAGACACTTTATATGGAGGGTGAAAAATCAACCTTAAAGATTTCAAGATTCTAGATATATCGAATTTAATGATATATCGAATTATGATATCAAGTGTAGCAGAATATACCTTTGCCCGCTCCAAATTCGATGAAACAGGTGTCATCCTGCGCAAAACCTGCCTGTTCCATATGTCCGAGCAGAGATGCGTTCTGGAGCAAGTGCTTTCTAAGACGATTGCCGCAGGTTCCATCGTTTAATCTGTATTTCAGCACGTCGTGCTGCAGTATGTCTTGCGAAAACTCTGGCAGCTTTTCTAAATAAAATGTAATGTAAAGATACAAGAAAGAACAAGACAGTGGCTACATTGCGATCATAATGATTGCATAAATTCATATCTTGGAAGAAAAAGACCAACGTTTACATTTCCGGATCCTTCTTCAGTGACACAAGTGACACAAGTTCTGAGTTTGTAGGGGTTTCAAAATCCAAACACAGTTGTAAACTTCATGCTCTAACGGCCGATCGATCAGATATCAATTGATTAACACAAGATATGTTTGCACTCTGAGATAACGAATGTTAAAATTTCTACAAGAAACTGCCGAACGAACATCAGTTCCTTTTCTTCCAAGGTGCGGGGAGAACTTCACCATGAGCGGAATGGATCTTTCTTATCACCGCCTCCACGATCGACTCGTCGAGCCGCGACAACGGCACGTGCGCTGGCGCCACCGTACTCTCCTCGTCCAGATTCACCCCCTCGACGATGAACGCGGGTCGCGCGTCCATTCTGCGCTTGGCGTTGCACACGGTCAAGTGCTTCGTCAGTTTCGACTGATAGCATGTGCTGAAGATGAAAACGTCAATTCAGTCACGGACTACATCGTGTCCGAAACCGTTTATGAACCGAATGAAATCACAACCCTGTTTATCTCGTTTCACAGAGTCGCTTACTGTGTGGGGTCCAACGGGCACTTCACCCTCCTGTCGTCCGCCGCGACGTCGGGCCCGTCGGGGTCGTCAGCGTCCCGTTGATGTTCGCCGCAATATCGTTTGCCCGCTCGCACAGTCATGCGGCAATAACGTTTCTTCCGAGCGACGAAGTGCATGCAGCGGTCGCGATCTGTCGTTCTCTCCTCGCTCATTTTCCTACGCTTTTCCTACGATTAGGCAATTCTGATTCCCGGACCGGAACGTTACGGGTATTACGGTATCGCTCATTCAAATTCCTAGGTGGATGGACAGAAAACGTAAGTAATCACCAAATTAACCAATCATAGGTGGTAAAACATCAACGGTGGCTGCTCAGTTCTCAATAATAATTGCTTGATTTGCTCACTGCTCACATTATTCTTCGTACTACGACCCTTACCTTACCTGTCAAAAGAGTCTTGGGACTCCACTCGAGATAAACGCACCTGCGGAGTGCGGACGCACGGCTTCCTTTTGAGGTTAGGTACGATCGTATCAGGTATAGCTAGGTCGGCGGGTTAGCGCGAAGTCAGCCGCGTACATCTCGGTTGGATCGGTCTCCCCGCCGTCAGATGGCGCCTCCGTGAATCTTTCGAGACGGCCGTCGTGAGCGCCATTACGCATTTATGGATTTTTAAATCGCACACCGCCTCCGGTCTCCGGACTGATCATCGCGATCGCGCGCGGCAACCCCTTCGGCCGTGAGGGTGAGTTTAATAATCACGCATCTCTGATCGTACAAATATATACATCCATCGTGTCAGTCACGCTCGAGAGAAGTCGTTATTATTGCGAGTCATCTCCCGCGGAGGGCACTTTAATAGCAGCCGTGCCCTTTCGGCCCGGACGGTGTGTTTAAACAGAGTTTAAGGGGTCAAAATTGATCCCCCCGGGCGTGTCTAGGAGATGAAGTCGCGAATTCGCCGGCCGCCGGCCGGCTCCGCGCGCGCCAGTTCTCTCCTCTCCCCGATATCTATCTACCCATTTCCATCTGCCTCCCCGCCCCCGTCCTGCCCTGCTGCCTGTCCGCCGGAATTTTTGCAACTTACCTGGAGAGCTCGCGACGATATTTCCGGATCATCCTGTATTTATTGTTCACCGCCGAGGGAGATCTGAGCGCGCGTGTAATTCGCTAATGTAGAGCCGCCGCCTCCCCCCGCGTCGCGCCGCTAGCCCGCCTCAAAGTTCACCTTTTACCTCCTCCCCTCGCGTCTTTCACCCTCGCTCGCGCCGACCCTCTCTCGCCGTGCTCTCCTTTCCTGCCCCGCGCCCGTCGTCAACCCCCGCCGCCCTGCTCCCTCGGCCCCTCTACGCGCTGCCCCTCGCGCTCCTCTGTAATTCCCTTTTCCCCGTGGCTCTCGTTTTCTCTGTCTCACTGCGACTTTTCCTCCTCGAGCGGTCTCTGTCCGTCCGCGCCCGCGCGCCCGCGCGGCCGAGCGTTATCTATCCTCTTGAAGGCGAGCTATTACCCGATTGTTTCTTAAATAAAATATCATCGGTGGTCCCGTCGCCACACCACTCACAATAATAATTGCCTCGCCGGTGTCAACCGGATCTCCGCTCTTTCTCCCTCTTTCTCTCTCTCTCTCTCTCTCTCTCTCTCTCACTCCCCCTTACCCTCACCCTCTCTTCCTTCTTTCGTTTCTTTCGCCCCCCTCCCCCTTCCCTTCTCAACCGCAGTCGCGCAGTTCCTCCGCGCTCTGTCCGTTAATCCGTCATGCGCGGGACGCTCGGTAAAGAATTGTGAGATACGCGCGAGCCTGGTCGTCGTTGAATTCGCGCAGCGATAAGGCGTTATCGGCGCCGATGGCGCGCGGTAACCTGTCGATCGTCCTTCCGTGCGGGCGACAGGCCGGAGGAGCCGCGCCGTTCTCTGCGAGTCGTTCCTCAAGCGTCCGTCAGTCGTAGCGTCTCTCGCCCATGAATGAATGCGTCGCGATGAGTCCCATAGAGATACAGGAGTTCCCCGTCTCAGCGACCTCCGCTCGTTGAGGCAGTTTCCCTCAACTGACAGGCCGCTCATTAGAGCGCGGAGGAAAAGGAGCAAAACAAAGAAGAGCAAATCGACGAGATCGGGGCGGATACGAAAGCTCGACGCGCAATCCTGAGGTGACGTACCAGCGGCGACGCGTAGCCCGAACGTGTGCATCCGTCGGATCCTGAGGGTGACTAAAGAGCGACGGGGAGGGGAGGGGGGTTAATTACTCAGCCACGGAAAAGGCCGGGAGATCCTGTCGCGCGACCCACGCTCGTCGAAATTATCCGCTCCGCGGTCTCCGATTGCGCCTCGGCGTGACGAAATCTCGGCGAGTGTGTGTGCGTGTGTATGTGTGTGCCGAGTTGGTGTGACGCCCCCTATATGTGTGTGTGTGTGTGTGTGTGTGTGTCGAAATACCTGGCGCTCGCTACTTACGCGCGATACGCGCGCGCCCATATATTTACGACGCTTCGTACAACGGCTCGCGAGCGCTAACGATCCCTTTTTGTTTCCCAGGAGGGGGGCGCGGCGTGGCGCCGCGCGGTGTTAACAAGCAGAAGGGATTAAGGAGTGAATGAACAAGTGTTATCGTCGGGACGGAGACGCCGCGCGGAATCGAGCAGAGTCGGCTGCGCGTCCGTTTGCGGAAGGATGGCGAGAGGCGGAGGAGAAAGAGGGAAGGAAAGAGGAGGGGGAAGGAAGCCTGGAAAAATATCGCCGATCGACGCTGGCGACGACGACGCGCGTCTTTTGACTCGCGATTGCCGAATCTCAGCGTTGCTTTCGTTGCGGTGGCGGCGGCGGGGGGGGGGGAAGGGGACGCATGTGGGTTTCCGCGCGCGTGCGAAAGAAAAAGAAATACACGCGATTGTATGACGGGTTGCGGTCGCATGGGGTACACGCGTCGTTCCGCTGTTTTCCTCTTTCTCTCTCTCCCCCACCCTTCCATCCGTGCTGAGAAGGCCGTCGAAAGCTCGGCCGAAAGCGCGCCCTTTTGACGCTCGCGTTATCGGCACGATGAAGAACCGGCGGGAGGACTATCAATAATTACCTGGACCCATGCCCGCCCCAACTCTAACGAAGGACGATTTCTAACGATCCCTCGCCAGCGTCCAACTTCTGGACGTAATTAATTCCCGAGCTAACCTGGAATGCTATAATTAATTGCCGGTGGGGTTGATGAGGGGCAGAGCGCGCAACGGGTGCAACAATATGTACCCGCTTCGATTAGAAGTGCCGCGAGGTGGGGGGAGGAGGAGGAGGAAGAGGAGGGCAGCGGCGGTCGGGCGGTACAGGCGGGGGTTGGGGTGGGACCGCTTCTGCTCGCAGTTATGCAATTAATTAAATTCAGTTTGTTATTCGCCGTCGACTGTTAATTGCCGCAAAACTTCAAGAAACTGCACTCACACACGCGCGCGCGCGCGCGCGTACGCACACGTTCGTTACGCTTCGAAACGTCATCCGCTGCGCGCGTGCGCGCTCGACTCAAGATCGCGTTATAAAAGCCGCGTGAACCCATTATCTTCTCGCGTCCGCGAGAAATTAATATCTAACGAATTCTTCCCGCGCGCTCGCGCGCAAACTGCGACTGAAACTTTTATCCGGGTGCTCTCGTAATTATTCATTGTGCGTTATGGCGCGCGATGATAAAACTCGTCGCTCTGTATCTTGATACCGGCGAGAGCACGTGGAGCGGGGGGGGGGGGGGGGAGGGGGAGAAAAAAGAGCGCGTCGTTTGTAAAAGAGGCTAATGGATTACGTCAGCGATACGCTCATAATTAACGCGCCTGTTTGATTTCGGGATTTAATTGATACGCTTGTAAACGCAAGACAGCCGGCAAATAAAGGATTAGAACGCGCGATGGCTGCGCGCGCGGCTTAATTAGCGCGCCCGCGCGCCGAGAGAGCTTTCCTTTTCTTTCACTTTCGCGTAACGAACCGTCTTGGAGTTCTATTTACGCGGCGGAAGAAGGAGGAGGAGGAGGAGGAGGAGGAGGAGCAAAGAAGAGAAAAAAAAAAAAAGGAAAAAGAGTGAGGCACGACGGAGAAAAGAAGAGTTCTCGCGATGCGCGGAATAACGAGAGAAATTGGGCGTCGTTATTTTCGGACGTCGAACCGCGATCGTGAGAAATCTCCCTCTTCCCCATCCCCGCCTTTCTGTGTTTTCCTTTCTCTTTTACATTTAACCGACTTATTAAAAAGGACTCGTTAAGAGGATACCACACGCCGTTCCGTTTTTACAGTCGCGATCGGCCTCGCGTCTCGGTCGGTCCGGCGGCATCATTCTCGTTTCGGTGGCGCGCTTTGGCGCATCTATTCGGCCTTTGTTTTTAAGAGCGAACAAACAAAAAGAGCCCGCGCGGCGGAGAGAGAGCGAGAGAGAGAGAGAGAGAGAGAGAAAGAGAGAGAGAGAGGGAGGGAGGGTGGGAAGCGAAGGGGGAGGAGGCGGAGGTGGAGAAGAAGAAGAAGAAACGAAAACAATCGATACGACACGCCGGCAAGGCCAATCGGGCCGCGTTCTATTCGCGGTGAGGCCAATCAAAATGCCTACTACGTCGCCGGCAGGCCCGCTAATTAGACGCCACGTAAATCAGTCCTGAAACTCAACGTTAATTAACACGGGTTTCCGTTGGAGTTGCTTAGCCACCTATTTATCGAACGACACAAACGCAATATGGTCGGACACGTGTACATCCGTTAAATGCCTTCTCTCCAGGACCGGAGAATGTCGGGGGCTCGCGCGCGCGCGCGCGCACATTGCCGAGGAGTCGAGTCGAGACTCGATGTCTGAGAGAGAACCGGCCCCCCGCCCTCTCGCGCGACCGTCCGAAACATTCGAATCATTCGAATTAATTCAGCCACTCGCGGAGAGCGAGAGGCGAGGAGCGCTCGCGATGGCGCATCGATCGCCGCGACGTCGAAGTCGTAGGCCGAATTAGCGGCTACCCGCCGTGAGACCTTTCTCCTCGCTCGCGAGAAAGTCGAAATGTCACAATGTAATGCGCGGTGCACGCGCGAACGAGTCCGCCTGATCCTGGAAACATCCGTGGCTCGCGGGAGCGCTCGCGTTGGCGCACCGCGTGCGCCATCGGCTGTCGCGAGACGGGCCTCTGAAGATTTCTCGCTGCTTCGCTGGAAGAGGGAGACGGGGGAGGGAGGTGGGGTCGGGGGGGGGATAGGGCAATGACATACACCGACACGCAGCAGCGTGGTCGTGCTTGTTCTTTTTTTCTAAAAACTTGTGATTTTATTAATTAATAAATGTGTTCGTATGGTGGGGTCTGTGTGATGCTGGTCTGTGTGTGTGTGTGTGTGTATGTGTGTGTATGTGTGTGTACGTATGCGTGTCGCGTGTGTCCGTGTGTAACTGTATTTTTACAAGAGGCCACGAAACCACATACAGATGTCGGGTCCCGAATATGAGAAGAGTTGAGATAAATCAAATAACAAAATTAACTAGACGCGCGTGGTGGGATCGAGAGAGCCAGGCCGCGCGCGTGTCACTTTTCTCGGCCGGCCGCTTCGGAGGGCTCCC